CAGTTAGGGGATTCTGCAGACTGTCGAGGGTTCAGCCTCCTGATGAGTCGGTGAAACTCCGACGAAACAGTTTGCCACAGCCCCTCGTTTGTTGTCCTCTTCTCCCTCTCTGCCTACGGTTTACCGGGCATCTCTGTTTGACTATATATATATTATATATATTTTTTACATCGGATAGTTTTTTTGAATAAATTGGAGATTAATTTAATTCGGAAATACTTCGGATTTAATTAACTTCTTTTCAAAATTTCACTCCTTTTCTTTTTGCAGGTTTTTTTTCTTTTCTTTCTAAACTCGTCAATTTTTTTTGAATAAATTCAATTAATCCAAGTCGGAATTAATTTCTTTATTCGATTTTTGAGATATCAACATTCTCCCTTCTGCGAGGAATGAGCCTCGCAGAGCCCTTATCGGACATACACGTGTTCTGGGCTGTGGCCGCCAGCAAGCCTCATGCCCGCCCTAAGTAAAGGCGGGCTCGAATATCCAAGTGAGGGCTGTTGCGGGTAGTCAGACTGCAGAACGCCAGTTGGTTACAGCACAACGTGAGCCTCCAGGCTCTTCCCAAAACCAAAGGAGCTACGCTGTACAGTTGAGCCCCAGGCTCAGGCGGTTGCACCCTGGGCACACGCTGTGTGAGGCCAACGCATCATGGTCTGGTTACGGGTCAATGAGGAAGCAGCATTGTCGTCACACACGTGCCGCGAGCCAATGAGAATGTTGCGAACACTTGGAGGCTGGGTGGCTGCCTGAACGTGCCTAACTGCACGAGGCCCAGTCCAGTTTTGGAAACTGGGCCTGGGCGCAGACACTTGGGGCCCAACTGAAGCTACTGCCCCCCCCACATGCCTGGCCAGGACAGCCAGCATTGATACACTTTCCATAAAGGAAAGTGTGAGCCCCTGGCATGGGCATTCTGGCCTAGGCAGGCAATGCGGACACGCTGCTGCGTTGCGACGCTAGTGTCTGCATGGGCGCTGCTGGTCGGAGGCGCGCACGGGCGCAGTGGTGAGAGGGGCGCTGCTGAGGCAGAGGGTGCACGGCAGGCATAGCCAGGCAGTTGGGGCACAGGACAGGTAATGGTGAAGGTGGTCTTCGGGTAGGAGGCGCATGCTGTGGGAAGATGAGGGGTGATGAGGGAAGGAGAGAACTTACCTGGTGTATGCAGGTGGTCGGCATTGGTGTTGACGTCACGTACATTGGTCTTCCACTTCAGAGTGATCCAGTGGTAAGAACGTAGATAAGCTAGATAGGCTGGGCGCTGAGTGCCAGACAGTAAGTGCGGCATTAGATACAGTGTTGGTGTGACCAGAGAGTGGTGACATTGGCATTTGAGTTCATTGTATTGCTCTTATTTGGACTGTATCTTGGTGCATTGCACTCTCTGCTTGGTTCATGACTATCTGAGCTTCTTCGTGATTTTGCAACTTGTATTTCTATCTATCACTCTCACTCGTATTCATTGCATTTTGCAAATTTCCTGCAAAGTACCTTTTTAAATCCGTTATTCCTGAATAAATTCGATTAGTATAGAATTAAATACGAAATTAATCTTCAGAATTAATTCTCTTCAATAAATTTTTCAAAATTCTCTTCATTTTGTAAATAAAAGTTTTCAACCCCCCCTGGCATGAAGCGCCAAACCAACACCTCGTGCAAAGCTGCTGAAGCCACTGCCGCCGCTGCCGCCTCATCCACTGCTACCACTTCGGTCGCCGCCGCCTCATCCACTGCTGCCACTTTCGCCACTGCCATCGCCGCCACAGCCGCATCCACCCCCATGGCTGAGTCTTCCAGTATCAAGATGCCCCACATGCACACCCAGTCTGTCGGCAGTCTCGCCTGCGAGCTTGCAAGCGAACAATGAGTCGGCCCCGCAATCGCCACTGACCTCTCCACCATCCTCCACATGCTCTCCACTGTACAAACAACCATTCAAACATCCCTCACCAACATGGAAACAACTATCTCCGCCTCGCTACGATCGCATGACCGCCTTCGAGCAACAAGCTCCGACCATCACAGTGGTCACCACAACTCCGCCCCCTTCCACATCCTGACCTACCACCTCCTCCACTCCGCCCCACAACCACTCCTCCCTCAACCTCTCCTCCTTCGTCATCATTCCCTCCAGCAACACCACCCCACTCCCCTCTTCTTCCACTTCCCCCCCCTCACATTCCACCCCTGCCATCACACACTCCTCCCTCCTTCCTCACAAACACATCTCTGCTCCCGTCGTGTCCACCTCGACCGTCACATCCATCCAACTCACACACTTGCAAGTCACCAAAATCCCCTATGCGTCATCCTCGACTCTCCTCCCCGCCTTCCTCCAGCCTCCCCCCAACAACCTTATCCCTACCAACCCCACCGATGACGACACCCGCATCGCGTCCACCCCCACATCCTCTGACTTCAACACCCTCGCTCGTCGTGTCGCCAAAACCAGCTACCTTCTCTCCTCCCTCCGCCTCCAAGACATTCCCACCTTTTTTGGATAATCCCATGATGATGTTCTCCTTTTCCTCGCCAAATTACATCAAGTTTTCGAACTCCACAACGTCCCCCTTATCCACTGGCTTTCCATCGCCATTAACAAACTTGTTGAGACCGCCCATTGCTGGTGGATCACCGAATCCGCCAACTGACACTCTCCCGGTCTTCCTTCCCACTCCTTTCTCGAGTGGGCCTCCCTCCTCTCTGCCACCTTCCGGCCGCAAAAGACAATAGACGACTACGTCGATCGGTTTTGCAGGCTTCGCCAAAACGGCCCCACTGACCGCTCCATCCAATATCTTTGTACTCTTCGCTGAAACATTCCCCACGACCAGATGAGCAATGTCTTCATTTCCCGCTTCAAGCGGATCTGCTGCAAGGACATCGCATCCGCCCTCGCCTACGAGCCACCCATGTCCCTCTCCGACCTCCTCACCCGTGCCCTTCAACACGATCGACTTCTCTGCCCCGTTCGTGGTGCCACCACCTCCCGTCCATGCTCTTTTCACAACATCTCTGCAGAGGATACCACCATAAAGTCTCCCACCGACGACGAATTCACAGCCCCTATCGATGAGCCCGACACCCTCTCCGACTCCTCCACCTGGTGTCCCTCAGCTCGGAGGAACTCAGCACCATCCAGTTCTTGCATATGGAATGCAAGGACCTCATGGCTTGACCATTCCTCCACCCAACTCACCTATCTCAAGAAACTCACAATCGAGGAACGCGCCTACCTGCAAGCCAAGAATGGCTGCTTCCGTTGCCGACAGCTTGGACACCGGCAAACAAATTGGCCCAACACCGACCAGTTCACTCGGCATGTGAACAAACCTGCGACATTCACTATCGTTGAGCTCGACACCCTCTCTGACTCCTCCACCTCAGTGTCCCTCAGCTCGGAGGAACTCCACACCATCCCGTTCTTGCGTATGGAATGCAAGGACGTCATGGCTCAACCATCTTCCTCCACCCAACCCACCCGTCTCAAGAAACTCGCAACCGAGGAACGCACCTACCTGCAATCCAACAATGGCTGCTTCCGTTGTCGGCAGCTTGGACACCAGCAAACAAACTGGCCCAATGCCGACCAGTTCACTCGGCATATGAACAAACCTGCGACATCCACTTCTTCGGCGGCCGCGAGACCCGCTCCCTCCTTATCGTGAACTCTATATCCTTGATCATGGAGTGCACATCCTGGCATCAACTAGTCTGCCGGCCCCATCATCGGTGACACTCACCATTCCACCGATGATTCCTTCGACATCGACATCTAGTTTGTCAACCACAACCCCGGTGACAAATATTCCACCGATAGACCCCCAGGCGTCGCAGTCTACTCCGCCTGCCCCCCTCTCGACAACATCCCCTACCCCGCGGGACGAGATCATCATCACCTCATGCTCTTCCACCCTCCACCCCAACCCTTCCTTCAGCTCCTCCGATATTGTTGTAGAACAAGCACGACTCGATTGACTTGTTAAGTTAGGCCTCGAACGCCGCCGCCTCAACGCCATGATCTCCTTCGCCTACGTGGGCTTCTCCCGATTCCAACTCAAATTCATCGCCGCCTCTCTAGGTGCATCTACAATCAAGTTTCGGGCTCTCCTTGACATCGGAGCTACCGGCAACTTCATCACCGACGCTTGTGCCCGCAAAGTCGGTCTGCCTTCCATTTACGACTCCCCGATCACCATTTGACTAGGGGACAAGGACACAACCATCGTAGTAGACGGCACCGTTCTCGAGACCACTATGATTATCGACTCTCTCCGTAGTCAGGTCTCATTCGATGTCATGCACTTGATGTGCGGCATCGTCCTGGGAACCCCATGGCTCGACCGTTTCATGCCCTACACATTCCATCCCACCTTCTTTTGCATCACCACACCCCTTGGCCTTACCCTCAACATTTCCCTACTTTCCTCACCCTACCCCCCAACCTTCTGTCACCCCCCACCAGTTTCTCCACATTGCTCGTCAAAACCCTGACTCTACCTACTACTATCTTGTCCTTTAACTTGAGCGTCCTGAGGGTTTGCTTCCGACAGACAAACTCGACTAAGATCCCTTTACTTCCATCCTCGAGGAGCTCAAGGAGGTTTTTCCCGAGTCCTTGCCCGCCGGATTACCTTCGGATCATGGTATCTCCCGTACCATTGATCTGGAACCCGGCCACACTCCTCCTTGTCGACCACCCTACCAGCTCTCCGTTCTCGAGGCCGAAGAAATGAAGCGACAACTCAATGAACTCCTTGGAAAAGGATTCATTAAGCCAAGCTCCACCCCCTTCGATATAGGTTGCCTCTTCGTCAAGAAAGGCGGAACCACTGAACTCCGCATCTGCACAGACTACTGCGCCATCAACCGGATCACAATCAAGAACAAGTACCCCTTGCCTCACATCTTCGAGCTTCTTGATCGCCTCCGTGGAGCCAAGTACTTCACAAAGATCGACCCCCGAAGTGGCCTCCACCAGATCTGCATTCGTGAAGAGGATACTTGTAAGACTGCCCTCTGCTCTCGCTTCGAGCATTACGAGTTCCTTGTGATGCCTTTTGGCCTCACAAATGCCCCAGCAACCTTCCAGTCTACTATGAATCACATCTTTTGCGACCTTTTTGAAATCTGTGTCGTCGGCTATCTTCACGATATCCTAGTCTTCAGTCCCATTCAGCACATTCGCCAGGTCCTCTCTATATCCTCAGAGCTCATAAGTTCTACGCCAAGCTTAGCAAATGCACTTTTGTTGCCTCAAGCGTAGAATACCTCGGTCACGTTGTATCTGCCATAGCTACGATCCGGACCCCCGGAAAGGGATCCGTACTTTTTGAGGTCCGGTATCTGGTACCTGTTTTCGGTAACCGGCCCGGATGGATGGCCCCCTGGCCAACGACCAAATGTTTTTTGGGCGGCCGAAGGCGTTTTTTCACGCCCAAAAAAATTGGCCCATATTTATCTCGGCCTTTGGCCACCGTTCAGAAGGGGCGGAAAATGAAATGTGTTCCTCGACTTCTGGCCCCACGTGCAGTTGGCTGGTGCGCTGTTTGTTATGTGCTTGGAGAAAAAATCATCTGCAGCGGCGCTTTGTTTCCATTCGCGATGTTCATAGCACAACCCTTTTCAGCGTGTTCGAGGCCGGCGCGCCACTCATGTTCGAATACAAGTTAATAGCGGCGCGTTTTAGCGTGTTCGGATTCAATGCACAAAAGACCAAAAAGATACTGAGACTTACATGTTCTCTCTCCATCTCTATGTCTCTCTCTCTCCCTCTCTGACACACAAAAAAGAAGAAGAAAAACGGGCCAGTGTATATTTCCATGTTCTAGCGGAAGATTCATTCCAATTTTACTCATCCTATCGATGGAAGTAACCTCTCTCTATTTCTCTGCGTACATGGCTGGAAAACTCTCTCTCTCTCTCTCTCACACATGCACACACACACGCACACACAAGTAGTGTATATTTCCGTGTCCTAGCAAAAGATTCATTCGATTTTGCTCATCTTATCGATGGAAGTAGCGTGAGACCAGCCATGGGGTTGGAGACTTAGCTGTTG